AAACTGATTATGGTGCTAGTCTGTTTTATGAGGTGGGACTCTTTATCAGAAGACATTTTTGCACCTAGATTAATGGTACACTTTTCCAGAAAGTTATAGAAAATATGATCTTTCTGGTCTACACTTTAACTCTTACGAAGTCTAGGCCAGATGTAAATATACAGAAGTTCACAATGGCATTGCACAGAGCTTTTGACTGCACCGTGACTTTGTTTATCATGTTTGTCCTTCCCGTGCTCAGGGAAGCCTCATTTCTGTAACGGTGCTATTTTTGCCAAGCAAGGTGGTTAGCCTTTTACTCAGACCTGTATCTGGGGATGGGACCAGTAACTACACTAACACACAGTAAGGTTTGCACTGTAACTTCATGTATAAAGCACAAAAGACTACAGTATTAGGAGAAAAAAAAAAAAACAACCCAAACCAAACAACCCACCTCCCAAATGCAGTAACTGTCTCTAGCTTTCTCTTTTCTTAAGGGTCTCAGAGTGTTCAAATATATTTAAGAAAGCGAGAAGCTCCTGGTTTTTCTTCTTTCACCTCATTCAGAGCTCCCACTAAACTTAGGCGCTCTCCTTTTACTGATGAAGGTTAATGACTCTCCTTTCTATCTCTAAGCATCAGGGCACCTCTCCCAGCCTGAAGGCAGAGCGGCTGTCATGCAGAAGCTGGTCTGCATTACTGCCCACTAGGCTAGTTTTGTCTTTGGGTGCACATCAGATCACACATGCATTAGACAAACACAAGGAACAGAGCATGAGAGGTCATCTGCCAACGCAGCAGCTACAGCAGAGCAGCTGTTACGCTGAAAACGCTGCAGCTTTTTAGAGACTTGCTCATCGGCTCACAACCTCGCCTTCTTAATCCATCCTTGCTACCTTTCTCTCTTTGTTTTTTTTTGCCTTTATGATTCAGGCAGGTACCTACTTCAACCTCAAATAAACCTGTTGTCTTTGCTTTGGCGGCTGACTCCTAAGTAGCGCTCATTGCTGCTGCTCTGTCGGAGAGGTGACCACCCTCGTCAGCTGCCGCTAGACCAGTAACAGCATTTGGTGACACCACAGTTTCCATGGTGCATTACTTATCTACTTCCTTTGGGATTCGGTGCAAGGGTAATTACAGGATATGCAGCACGGGCATTTAGAAGAGCTTTAATCCTAGGATACAGATAATTTCCTGGGTAGTGGGACATTTTCTTTCTCTTCTGGAACGAGTGATAGAAGTCTCTGGTAAGACCACAGCTTAGACTGCTTCAGGTCTCATTGCTTCAGTTCTCTGGTTCCTGGAAGTGTGAATTTGGAAAGAATGGGTAGCCAAGGAGAATCAAAATGGGCAGAAATTTGAAATGACTGCTAGAGAGCTAGGAATGATGCTCCTGGAAGATCAAAATGTGTATTTTTACTGTAAGTCTGTATGGGAAGACCATTGAACTTCCTGACAGATCCATGGGGTGTATAGAAGCTAAATGATCACCAATGAGCACTTTTTTTTCTTTTTATTCTGGGGGGTGTGTGTGTGTTCATTATTAGTACCTTTTGAAGATGAACACAGCTAGTGCTTTTAAAAGCTCTGGTTAGAGATAACTTCTTTGTGTCTGTGATTTCTCTCTGTGATAGCATTTAAAGAAAAGGTGGCGCTACCTTTGAAACATGCCTTTCCTAAGAGTAGTCTTATACAGCCTCATACAGGCTCCAAACTTGTTCCCACACTGATAACTGTATCTGCCTTAGTTTTTCAAAGGACCTTGGGCAGTATTTCAAAACCAAAACCCTGAAGGTCTGGAACATAGCCTGGAACACAGATTTGTGAGAAAGTGGGTAGGTAACCGCGATGGCTGTCATGACGAATCAGAGGAGTAGGCATTTCAGACTAAGTGAGGTGAAGATCCTGTACCTACTTCTGCAAGGACAGCAAAACCCCAAGGAGCGCTACTGCACATGCACATGAAGGCACAATAACTCTGTGACACAATTAAGTGATAGCTAAAAAACAAACAAACAAACAAGGAAGGAAGCAGAAGGCTGTGGAAACTTGTCCCATGATGTGAGAAGTTGTTTGTCGTGTCAAGACCTTTCTCACAGAGAGGCACGTGACCATCGCTTGGGCTGAGCATTGAACAGGAGCGCAACGGAGGAAGTTACAAGATGCTTTACATGATAATGGCCATTTTTTTTTCTCTTTTCCAATGGGTAACAATTCAAGACAAGGAAAAATTTTAGCAAGTTTGTAATGTTTTGGTGGGGATGGACTCCACTGGCCACATGCACAGTGAGAGCAGCCCCTGCCAGGAGCTGTGCCCAGGGCTTCTGGTGGCACAGGAAGAAGGTGCGCCAGTGACTGCTCTCATAGCCTGAATTACATTTCCTTAATTCCTCTGTAGAGCGCTGACTTAATTTTTATTCATTGTTTTAACCTTCCATAATGTTCCATCAAGTCTGTGCAGTATTGTCGTAAAAAAACCCCAACCTTATTAAGCTCTGTTGATGTGACACCTTCTTAGGCACAGTGCCAGCCCTCGATATGACTGTCAGAATACTTAACCTCTATCCAGGGCTGGTGACTCCTTGTTCTCACTTACTGTTGTGTAAAATACCATTTCGGTCATAGAATCATAGAATCATTTCGGTTGGAAAAGACCCTTAAGATCATCAAGTCCAACTGTTACCCTAACACTACCAAGTTCATCACTAAACCATGTCCCTAAGTGCCATGTCTGCACTTCTATTAAACACCTCCAGGGATGGGCACTCAACCGCTTCTCTGGGCAGCCTGTTCCAATGCTTGACAACCCTTTCGGTGAAGAAATTTTTCCTAATATAGAATCTAAACCTTCCTCAGTGCAACTCGAGGCTGTTTCCTCTCGTCCTATTGTTATGTGCTAGAAAATCCGTTATGTGTTAGAAAATATCATGCAAGCATGCCACCATTCAGGAAGTTAAAATCCACATGCCAGCGTGAGCGGCCAATATTTCAGTCAAGACAGTTAGGCACTTGTTGGTTGTGAAACTCGTTACTGCACTCGCGTTGAGCAGAAAGGTCAGTCTGGTCTTCTCCATTCACAATCCATTTTCATCAGCCTTAGTGCAGCTGGGAGGAGACGCTGGCTCTCTCACCCGCGCTGGCCCTGCGCCCCACAGCACCACCTCATCACTTGTGGGGACACCGTCGTTTCTGAGGCCGTAGCAGTGAGGGGTTTTCATCAGCATCCAGTGCTGGCTTCCGATCTTCTCTCTCCTCGCTACTCGTTCCCTCCCGCGCAGCAAATCGTGCTGTCTCCTCAGTTTTGCAAATGCAGCTGGCAGACGGCAAGAAAAGCAATTCCTCTGCACCTTTCTCCAGGAAGTGGGACAAAGTTTGGGATAGGAAATAAGGGTGAGGGAACAGCTGAAGTTACTTTTTCCAAGAGAGGCGTGAGAAAGGGGAAGCATAGTGACTCTGACAAGTAGCTCTGTTTCCTCCTTTCTGTCTCTGAGAGCCTGGGAAGAAGCGCGGGTGCCAAGAAATCCTCAAGCTGCCTCCATTTTAGGTCTAGAGAAAGTGTTATTTGCAGAATCTCTGACAGGAGCTTAAAAAGCTGCTACATCCTCCTTACAGCTGGGGAGGTGCGTAGCAGAAGAGGCTTCTTCTGTGTCCTTCTCCTCATCTGGCCCAGGGCGGCCTCGAGGTTGAGTGGTTAAGGTGCAGAATTATCTGGCACTGGGACGCTGGGTGGGAGACGTAGAAAGAGGAGGGTGGAAGGAGCTGCCATCTCCATCTTGCTTGGCAGCACTTCATGTAATTTTTTGAAGTGCATATAAATTTCGGTTATTTGCACGAATAAATAATAAAACCTCTCAGCATAAATTAGGATTCCTCTACGTGTATGAATTCAAAGTACTGTTTCTGAAAAAGGCCAGCGGATGAAGGCTTTGTGCTGTGTAAGAACGGGGGAGAGCGCAGCAGTCCCGACACGGGGAGGAGATGACGCTTTCTCGGCGGCGGGGCTGACAGGTACGACACAGTACCGCCGCCT